GCACACACACACACATCTACCCACTAAGGCCTTTAAGAGAACACTGAACCCTCTATTATTGTAAATGGAAACAATATTTGTGCAGTCCCTTCAACCTACACAGAAATGCACACACACACACACACACACACATTACAGTATTTTTTATCACTTTGGTACATGTATGTAGTACAATTTCACAACTCTTAGTACAAAAATCAAAACAGATCATCAAAAAGGCTGTTTTTTTCAAAACGCTAAGCACATTTTAAATTGACTAAGCACAACACACAATATCACACAGTAACTTTTCACCAAACCTAATCAGTGGTTCATCTAGAAATACCTTTCATATAAAGTAATTGCCCTTCACAATGCAATATTCACAATACTTTTCATATGATTCTCTTCTCATTTGTTTAAATACATTTAACCATCACTTAATCCAACTGCGCTTAATGGTTAATCACTTAACCGTTTGGAAAACCTATAGATTTTAAACTGGTTTGTCTACTATATTTAAGAAATAAAATGTGTGTTTGTAAAGTATAAACATCTAAATTACATGTATGATACATGATAACCATACATAATAACTACTCGGTATTGCTAATTGACTTCACATAGTGGTAACCACAATTGGTCACCATATAAAAGAGGGTGTACACTTGCAACTTTCAACATGGAGCAGGATAGACAGCAAGGGAGAAGAGGAAATCAAAGAGCTCGTGGACAAGGGGCCCATCAGAGAGATGGGCATGGGCCCTGTCAAAGAGGTCAAAGAGGTGGGCATGGGCCCCGTCAAAGGCGTGGACATCAGAGAGAGGGAGGCAGATGGCGGGGAACTGTTGTGTCATTGACCATGTAGTAAACAGAGGCTGCCAGATTAGTTCACCCCAATCTGAAAAGATCAACTGTCAATTCGATCGTGAGAACATTTCACAATTTCTGCAGGATATGCACTATGCTTTACCATTACATTTACAGTAAATTACATATTGTAATGCATGTAAATTCACAAAACATGTTACAGTATTCTTACAGTATGATCTATTGACAGTATACTCTGTTCTAACCTCAGAATTGACAGAAGACCTCATGGTGGTGGCTGTGGCCGTGTGCTGACCGACCAGCAGGACTGGGCAGTGATGGAAATGGTAAGGGCCAGGAATGACATACGTCTGTCTGAAATAAAGCAGGCCATTGAGGAGAACGATGACACCTTTGCCAATGTGGCATCCATCAGCCTACCAACAATCACCTGCCTTTTGAAGAGGCACCAGGTATCTATGAAACACATTTACCTGGTGCCTTTTGAGAGAAACAACTGTGGGCCGAGTATGTTCAGGTACAGCACTATATACTGTATTACTGTTACTATTTGAAGGACATTCTACTTGACAATACCGTATTAAAACTATACTGTAAAAATAACTAACCAAAATATATTTTTAGAGGGTGATGGTGCTTGATGCTGCTGTGAACCATCACAAGTATATATTTGTTGATGGAGTGGGCTTCATTACATTTCACAATAAACTTATGTTGAATAAATCGTTGTATGGTGAGAGATGTTTACAATCCAAATTAATTCACAATGACAGGTTTGAATGAATGACTGGCTGCGTTACAAGTGAGAACAGTTAGGAGTTTTGTGAAAATGTACCACATACTTGTGAAAACACTACCGAAGCGATTTAAAAAAACTGTAAAAAGGCTACAGCGCCGGTGAGTGAAGAAGAGGACTTATTTCCACATAGACCATGGCAGAGCAAAGGCCCCAACACATCCTGGGTCTAGATTTCTAATCCAGCCCAGGGGGACATGCTCTCAACAGGGGGCTTGGATCATTGACAGGCGGAGAGGCCAGCGACGCAAGTGGCAGGCAGGCTACATACCCTACATCCTAATTATACCACAATGTCATTCCACTGTGTGTGTGTGTGCGTAATGATTTCACCAACTCATTATCTGTAGCTAACGACGCCAACAGAAACCCAGCAAGGTTAATGAGTTATCGGAGAAAGGGGAAGTACTTGCACACAAGCATAAAGAAGTGATGGATGGCACTTTATTACTGTACAGCCCTGTACACACATAAAGGATGACATTCAATAGGACCCTCATTCACTTTAGCACAGCAAACAAAACACTATGTGCATTGTGTCATATGCATTATGTGGGGGTCATTGAGAACACCATTACATTATGCACATGCCCAGTAGCCCAGTTCTCACCATATAGCACAATAGAGATGTTACACAGATGTTGGTAGGCTACCATATTGTTCAGCAGTGATCTTTCCTACAGTGGCTTGATTAATAACATCAAGCATCGGCTTTATCAATAATAGACATTAGCCTAGTCAGGGGTGACAGCTTAGTATATTCAGTCTCAATGTATGACAGGTTGTAAACTATCTCTTAGCTCTCTTTCATAGAAACCAAAGTGGTTCCTTTTTCCTCTTCCTAAATAACAATCCTTTGGTAAACAATTACGCGTTCTACAAAATATAGTGTGTATGGAGTATATAGTGTCTATATATTAGGGCTGGGAATTGCCAGGGACCTCAAAATACAATATTATCACCATACTTAGGTGCCAATATGATGTATTGCAATTCTCATGATTCTATATGTATTGCATTTTACATTTTTACATTTTAGTCATTTAGCAGATGCTCTTATCCAGAGCGACTTACAGTTAGTGAATACATATTTTTTTTTTTATACTGGCCCCCCGTGGGAATCGAACCCACAACCCTGGCGTTGCAAACGCCATGCTCTATCAACTGAGCTACATCCCTGCCGGCCATTCCCTCCCCTACCCTGGACGACACTGGGCAAATTGTGCACCGCCCATGAGTCTCCCGGTCGCGGCCGGCTGCGACAGAGCCTGGATTCGAACCAGGATCTCTAGTGGCACAGTTAGCACTGCGATGCAGTGCCTTAGACCACTGCGCCACTCATTGCATTTCGATGTTCCAAACATATTGCTCACCATATGTTTGCTGCAGAGGGACAAGAGACAGTCATTCGAAAATTAGTTTTGATCAGTCATGGAAATAAAAGTGCTGAAAACAAATTGGCTCACTATTTAAAAAGAAGATGGAGAACAAGCACTGAAGGGAAAACACTGGAGTTTTGAAGCAGGTACAGCTAACTAGCGCAAAATATATTGCGATATTGTCCCTACAAATATTGCAATATATCATCAAAATAATATCCTGATATGTAACTGTATCAATTTTTCCCCCACCGCTACTATATATAAAGTCTATAATTCTGACATGAAGTCATTTCATGTAAAATTGCCTTCTGAAAATGTGAATCTCGCAGTGGGAAGTTATCAAATCCTGTTATTTTCAATCAAGGGGGGAAACAACATGTAACGACTAATGTTCCACCATGAACTAGGCCAAACATTCTTCTGTGTCCCCTTATTGTCTTCCTGGAATGGCCTCCCCATGATTCCTTTCCCATACCTTCTCCCAATGGTCGTAAACAGTTACACAACAGTTACAGTAGTACAGAATGCACCCAGCCTCAGCCTCCATACAGCACCCCCATACCCTTGGAAAAAAAGTACAAAGTGTCCCTTGTGTGGGAGCACAGAGACCTGAGTGATACAGCTTAATAGTATTATGGGCTATGGTATTCTCTCTCTGGCACACACACACACACCCACGCGCGTGAGCATGTGCACACAGACACACACACACACAAACAAACACACACACACACAAACACACATCCGGCCGGCCGAGGTGGTTCATTCAGCCCATTGACCTTCAGCTAGCCTCTGGTTACTTGGCATGACACACAAACAACATACAGTAGGCCACACACACACACATATGTACACACACTGCCTCAACACACTGAAAAATACGCTGTTACAAAACATTCAGAAATATACTGGCAACACGGTGACAAACACACTGTTCCACCCAGTGAGCAAAACACAGTGAAACTCATTCATACATGTTGCCAAATCCATAAACATGCCCCTAAAAAACAACGTATTGTCAGTAGGGAGGGGCAGGGTTATTAGGATATTCGAATATCCGAACGGACATTAGTATTAGATTACTTGAGAGTATTCATTTTTGAGTGAAAAATAATAGGCCTCTTTTTTTTAAAGGCTTTGTCTAAAATGTAATTAGACCTATCTATGTGACATTGCTACATAGCCTACACGGATAGATTATTACATTAAATGTTGTGTTTTATGAAAAAAATGTATAGGGGGGGCCCATAACAAAGTTGCACCGGTAGCCTACATACTCATGTAGCTTGTTGTTATTGTTGGTCAATCAAAGCGGCGCTACAGTCAGAGGCTCCATGTGTAGCGAAGAGAAGTGAGTTGTAGACAAGGACGCCTCAAAATAGCCCCAATTAGCCTCAATTAGCCTTGCAACTTTAGCTAGCTAGCTGGCTAACTTAGCTGGCTACTGTAGCTAGCTAGCTAGTTTCTTTGCAACGAGTTGTTGCAGTCAAGACAGGCACTACCAGATGGTATGATTGATAACCTTTGGCAGCAACAAGTTTGTCTAACTAGCATGAGTCGGTTTGGCTACTTTCTAACTCTCTCTTTCCCCCCGTGCCACACACATAGACACATAGTCACACACACCGGCCCCTGCTCCCCTCTCCCCCCTCCCCCCCCACCCTCTCTTGAGTCGCACGAGCAAGTCTCCATTGAAGTCTAAAAAACCATGTTTGTTTTTAAACACATGTATTTTGACTATTTAGATCTCTGATTTTATTTTATTTTATTATTAGCAATACACTCACTGCAGCCTTAGGAAAATCTTAACAAATGAATATAACACACTGCAGGCCAAGATGCCCATCGAACCCAAAAAATAGGGCTAGTAAGCTGCAGCCTATATAGTCCATTGAATAGATCCCATCCAAATGTCTCATCAACTGTAAGTGGAATGTAGGCCTACACTCAAGCCAAACCTGAAAACTCAGTCAATTAACATAGACAGCCAAGGGAGTAGCGCCTGTCCCAATTTATTTGGATAGTTCGCACATTGTCATGCCAAAGACGCTGCTTGACAACAATAGGAGAGTTGGCTTCCGTTGTGTACAGAATGTGGCCCACATAATTAAATAGAACACTGAGTGTACAAAACATTAGGAACACCTGCTCTTTCCATGACATAGACTGACCAGGTGAATCCAGGTGAAAGCTATGCAACTCGATATTTGGAATGTGTCCTTAATGTTTTGTACACTCAGTGTATGTATCTCTATGATGGGAGCAGGCTGAGTTCCTACCTGTTTCCAGAGGAACATGTCTTCCTGGTTGAACTGCCAGGTGGTGACCAGGTGAATGGTGGAGAGCACCCCTCCGCTCAGCACGGCTGCTCTCATCCTGACAGGCAGCAGCGTGTAGATGATGTAGATGAAGAACACAGACCACCAGATGCCCTCAGATGCGCTACGAGGCGCCACCATCAGCACCCCGAACACCTGCACCAGCAACAGGACCCCGATAACCAGGTAGCTCACCATCCACATGTAGTCCTGGTGGAAGCCGTTCCGGTTACACACAACCATGAGGGCCATGAACAGGGCCATGGCCACAGAGAGGGCCGAGGAGTAGGCCACGTCCGGGGGCGCGTGGACACAGTGGAAGGTCAGCATCACGCCGCACACGATCACCAGCACCCCCATCAGCATGGTGAGGGAGCTCTGGTTGAGCCTGAAGAAGTAGCGCTGGTAGAGAAGCTCCAGCTTATGAGACTGGAACTTCTTGGACTGGAACACCCGCACCACCCGCAGCCAGCAGTCTGCCGCCGTCACCCCCCCTCCCCCATTGAGACCCTCGTCACCCCCCTCTGCGCCACCCCCCCCCACCTTCCTCCCCTTCAGGTCCCCGTCCTCAAAGCCCAGGTCGACAGATTTGAGCCCCACCCCTTCCCCAGTGGCGCCGCCCCGTTTGCCGTAGTGGTCCTCTTGCCAGATGCAGCGCACGCCGAAGTTGCCCCCCCCGCCAGCTGCCCCGGCCCCCCCTCCACAGTGGTGGGGGTTGAGGGGGGCTCCAGAGGGGGGCTCCATGGCATCCGGGTCCCTCAGGCAGCTCATGTAATGCGGGTTGCAGAGGGATGAGCCTCCCTTCTGCTTGGACTTCTTGCCATTGCGCTCCCCCCACGCGGTCTTGCGGTTGTCCACTCTGGCCACTAGGAAGCCGCTGAACCAGGACATTCTGTGTAGGAGGGAAGGGGGACAAGCACAGCGTAGGGCAGGTGGGGCAGTTAAGAGTTTGAATAAACATTCATAAATCCACCAACTTTAACTAGACATGCAACAGTCTAAAGACAACAACCTTCACTTGTTTTATCCTAACCTATTGTTATTCTAAGGACACCAGTATGACTGTGGACTTCACCTGTTTGGGTTCTGGTATATATCCCAGCCCTATCCTCTCCAGCCAGTCCACTCATTTATCCCAGTGGGCAGAGGTTTGAAGAAGTGAGGGGTTTCAGACGCTGTTCTGCAGGGCTGTGGTGTGAAAGGTTTAGGGGATCACTCTATGATCTCCAGGGCTTCTGAGTCTGGGAGGAGAGACACAAAACACACACAAATACAAGTGGAATTACCACAATTGGGGAAATACCACAATCATCACAAATGGAACATTTGTCAAGGTTTAGTCTATTATGTCATCATAGACCAGTCTGGTGGCTTGACTCGTTAGATGTAAAGAGGAAGGTGATAACAGGTGGTGGGAGTCAGAGCCTGTCATCACTGGTAGGAAACACAGAAGACATTAATATTATCACTGACTCATTCTCTCACTGATGTAGACAAGATCACAGGAAACTAATCAGATTGGGCAACCATCATAGACATGCTGTATCACTACCGTCCTCTGTCTGCTCAGTGCTGGAAAAAGTACTCAATTGTTATACTTGAGTAAAAGTAAAAATAACTTAATTGAAAATGACTAAAGTAAAAGTGAAAGTCACCCAGTAAAATACTACTTGAGTAAAAGTCTAAAAGTATGTGGTTTTAAATATACTTCAGTATCAAAAGTAAATGGAATTGCTAAAATATACTTAAGTATCAAAAGTAAAAGTAAAAGTATTAATAATTTCAAATTCCTTATATCAAGCAAACCAGACAGCACCATTTTTTTATACATTTTTTTACAGATAGCCAGGGGCACACTCCAACACTCAGACATAATTGACAAACAAAGCATTTGTGTTTAGTGAGTCCGCCAGATCAGAGGCAGTAGTTATGACCAGGTATGTTCTCTTCATAAATGTGTGAATTGGACAATTTTCCTGTCAAAATTTAACAGTACTTTTGGGTGTCAGGGAAAAATGTGTGGAGTAAAAAGTACATTATTTTCTTTTGGGATGTAGTGAAGTAAAAGTAAAAGTTGGCAAAAATATGAATAGTAAAGTAAAGTACAGATACCCCAAAAACCTACTTAAGTAGTACTTTAAAGTATTTTTACATCACTGTGTCTGCTTACCAATACAGATCTGGGGTCAGTCTGACTCTTTACCTCCTGGTGTTAGAGGTGGGCATTAGGGTAGGAAACACTGGACCTAGATATGTGGTTTAGTGGCAAGTTTGATTCTGATCAGCTAACCCCTTACACCATCAATATTTGCAATTTTAGCAGACGCTTTTATCCAAAGCGACTTACAGTCATGCATACACTTTAAGTATGGGTGGTCCTGGGAATTGAACCCAGTACCCTGGCGTTACAAGCACCATGCTCTCTACCAACTGAGCTACAAAGGACCACAGGCTAATGACCCATCAGACTTAAATTTCCTGAATCAATTAGACAAAGAAGGGATTTCTCCTCATTCCTGTAAATGGAGGTATATTTGGGCACAAGCACAACAAATCTAGCCACTGATATAAGTTGCACATTGAAAGAAAATCCCCATTATAGGCTTTTCTAACGTATTAAAGGTCTTGTGCATTATCTTACCAATCACTACTACTGATTTACCATCTGTGCAGAATTATAGGCCTACCCATCCACGATAATAATAAGACTAGTTCAACCTCTAACTAAGGCATATATATATATATATATATATATATATATATATATATATATATATATATATATATATATATATATATATATATATGCATATGGATTACATAATTATTTATAGTTACTATATGGTTATATATAATTATTAGGCTACTATATGTCTAGTTCTCCCTAAATCAGCAGAACAAAGAAAACATTGCCTTTAACATTTAAAAAAAATCATCAGAATAATTAGACTGATCACCATCACGACTCTTCAGTATCAAAGCTGATGTAGCCCCATAAGTATTACCTACATAGGCTAGAATCAGCTGAGCGTAGCAGGGACTGACAGGCCTCAAAACAACCTGAGCTCTTCAATGTGCAGAACGGCTTCTATCAACTCAAGGCAATGCTGATGTGCTGCTCTCCTTGCGTATTTTTAGTGGGAACTGGGAACATGAGCAGGCGCTCATGTCGGAAGGCATGTTGTGTTCTTGAAGCAAAAATAGAATGTATTCCTGATGGCTAGTACGCCTTCTCTGGCACGTATCCGTCCAGGCTGCTGATTGTGGCTTCTGGTGGATCAAGGGAGTTCAAGGATATTTGCCTTCAGTCAGTGGACGCTACTACACCCCCTCCAGATCCGAAAAATCCCTTCTCTCCCGTGCACAAGGTCGAGCAGTGCGGTGCCCCCATTGCAAATGTCTTGACGTTGCCAATCGTTACGGCGTTCAAGAGCTACAAGTATCTATGTGTATGTGGCTGTAGACATACTGCGTGAATCCTTTCCTACGCCGCTAGCGCTTTTAGGACAGAATGTGGGGGGACTATTCCTCTGGGACGTTTGCACAACATTTCGACCGGACAGCGGCACACTGTCATTACATAATGCAAACAGCGTGTGCATAGAGACTGGCAGAACAGCTTATATTTCTATTAGCCTAGTCTACCGTGCTGTAGCCTATGAGGAGTGCATCAAAGTAAATACATATTTGATAATCGCATCATCAGCCATATTGTCTGTTGCAGGCTATTATTGTAGACTGGTTTAATTAATAGCCTATGTCAGCATAGGCAAAATGTTTTATTAATGGTATGTTGGCCTAACAACAGTGTAGCCTAATAACAGAATACGAGTGTATCCAAGGCGAGATGCAATTAACATTCCATGCAAAGGCTATCTTATCGCCCGCATTCACACACTCCTTACATAACTGTTCAGTGTAGCCTATGTGACAGAGATCACAGCTATTGCCATTTTGACGCTGTGTTGTTTTTGTACAGAAGCCGTGTGCGGCTACAATGTTGTAGGCTTCAATGTTGCATGTCACACCCTCCCGCCAAGTAGCCTATGTGTCTTGTTCTTCAACCAGCGAGGGGAGAGGAAATTCAAGCATGCCTCAGGCCCTGACAAACAAACGCCATGAGTCAATAAACACATGGCAGGCATTACAAACTGTGGACTGTCATGCCCTATGTCCACCAGATGCATATGTGTTTTATTTTGCCGGATGTCTAGCCCACATTCGCCGTACTTCAAGCACGTGCATGCTTTTCATCTAGATACAAGCAAGCTAGTTGGAGTCTGTGACTATACTTCCGTTTGTACCACCGCACCGCATGAGCTGAAATTATTGAGCGCATGCGGTACACAGAATACACTGCAGCCTAGTGTGGCACCCCCAAAGTAGCGTTGCAAACTGCTCCATTGACAATTAATGACTTCTGCCAGAATGCAAAGAGTTTGATGCATCTGGTGGACATGAGGCGTCACTATTCCACATTCCAACGCATCACATCGCCTTATTTCTTTTTTGTATGGTTGCCTCATCAGTAGGCTGACCTACAAAAACATTAGCCTATACTTTTTTTTAAACTTCCTGCTATGATGACCTAGCCTATATTTATATTATATTAATTTTAAATAACTCAAACATGGCAACAAACAGAAGTGTTGCCGTTGGTAATTCATTCTAGACGTGTACATCCTGCAGCTGCGACCTTTGAGATAGCGTCTATGACAGCAATGGCTAGATGGCAGCAGTCATTTTATCCTGCAAAGTCGTGGATTTTAAAATCAAGATATTAGAGCCTATAACGTTAAATGTATGTTTTTTGAATATCCATGCTTATACGGGGCTATGGACATTATTGAGCCATAAGAAACACGGATCGATTAGCCCACTGGGCCACTCCTGCGATAAACACAGAGGTCTCAGGCGCACAACCCCTATAATAATAAAATACAATTCTGCCGACTGCCCTCAATTACGCACTGATAGAATTGCAGTAATGCCGTTTCTCAAATCAAATGGGTGTACTATAGCATTAGTAAGGTTTGGCCTTCCCTAAACAGCATAAATAAGCCTACATTAAACATGCGCATACTCGGCCGGATCACGCTTGAAAGAGGACTTACCGTGATCATCATTCTCGCTTCTTTCCCTCCAAACTAGACCGCACGAGACAACCCAATATTGGGCAGGATAGGCCGAAGTGAAGTCACTTGTACCGTTGACGGTTTGAGTGGTCAGAATAGGGGACCAGTCCAGTGATGACAAACAGACATAAACGCACAATATCGCTCTCGTTCTGCCTCTCCTAATGTTTTCTTTCTCTCCACTCCCTTGCCTGCCTCTCCCCCTCTCTCCTAGCTTAGAAGCACTACCGCTCACATTCTTCAGTTTTGTCTTCTGCTCAGTGTCTCGCAACTCCCTCTAGAGGTGCAGCTCTGAATGAAACACAGCTTGTTTATGTTCTGAATGAACCATAACACAGTCTATGAACTCCATTATTTCTCTCACATGCTACTTTGTGTGTTGAGGAAAGGTTGTGATGGGGATATATCCCCATACACCCATTACCCACTTAGTACCAAACCAGATGCCAGATAAACCACATCAGATGCCCAACACCAAAATCTTTAAAAACCCTGGACACCAGACAGGCCAATGCACTTTTCCCAATTCCTAAAAGACAACAATATTGTTGTTGGAATTGGATGCAAAACAGTGATTGAATGTCTAAAATGTAGTTGGCAAAATGTAATCTATACTAAAATGTAAATAGAGAGAAATGAACCGCCACCTATATATAGCCTGCTATGATACAATAGACTTTCCATCATGACCAACCTGTTACCTAAGAGCTCTTACCAACAGATAACAAAGTGTGATAACTTACCAACAGAACAGAT